TTATTCCTCCGTCTAGACAATATAAGTATCTTCAATATTCATGCAGATTCTGCTGGAAGACCCATCTCTGCTAACGGGTTGTGGGCCCAGGAAAACATTGAAGCTACGCTAGGGGAAAGTTTACCACCAGAAAAGTCGCAGTGTGTACAGTGTGTTCGGTGAGGACTAGCATGCTAAGTTAGCACCATGAGTAAGCGTGCTGGTGAACCCAGTGACCGATGGGCAAGGTTGGTTTTTGACGGAGATGAGAAGAATTATGAACTTTGGGAGACAAAATTTTTGGGATATCTTAGTTTACAAGGTCTAAAAGACACAATATTGAAAAGTGATGAGGATGACGAAGATAAGAATGCCTATGCAGAGTTAATACAGTTCCTGGATGATAAGAGTTTATCACTCGTGATGAGAGAAGCTGCCGATGATGGACGCAAGTCACTGAAAATTAAGAGACTATTATGCGGGAAAAGGTAAACCAAGAATTATCAGCCTTTATACTGAACTGACTTCTCTGAAGAAAGCAAGCAGTGAGAGCGTCACGGAGTACATCATACGCGCAGAGACATTTATTACAGCCCTGAGAAATGCTGGAGAGACTTAGTGATGGTGTTAAAAAGTTTACCAGAAGCATTTAAACCTTTTTCTGTTCAAATTACTGTGATATTATTCTGTTATCATATGTTACCTTATATATGTAATCAAAGTAGTTGAAGTATGATACTGTTGTAGATCATATTATACCCTTTAACATAGAGTGTGTGATCAGTATATAGTTTTAGTTTGCATTATACTTCTGACTTAAAAGAGTGTGAAAATCATTAGATCTATTGGATTGACCTGTATTACTCAACACTGTTGAATGTGTTACACTGTTTCTTGACATGTCATACTGCTGAATCATGAAGAGAATGTTGTGTGCAGAGGACCTTGTGCAGATAATAGAAGAAACAGACCACATTCCTTTTCAGAAGAGCAGAAAGACAGGGAGCCGAGGTCATAACTTAGGCGCCGTAAGAGAGAAAGAATGTAATGTTTAGGCTTTTACGACTAGGTGGGGGCCACAAGAGACTATAAAAAGCTGAGCAACCCGTCACCATTTTGAGACATGCTGCTGACCCTCTGCAGACATCTCTCCCGTCCGGACGCTTTAATGCTCTGATTGTTGAATTGTATGGAAATAAATGATTGTTGATTGAGCATTTATACACCGAGTATTGTCCTTCCTTCAGCCCAAAGATTCAAAGAATTGGGAGAATTCAACATTACGCAAAGTGAATCAGAAATCAAGTTTGCGGAATTTAAAACAAAACTCCGCAGCTATGAGGACACTGAGAAAATGCGCTTAGTGGAACAAGAGGATAACATAATGAAGGCGAGAGTGCAACCTAGCGCGAGACCCGCAGCAGCTGCTAATGACCAGAGGAGAGACATGTCAGACATAGTCTGTTTTAAGTGTGGCCAGCGGGGACACAAGGCCAGAGCATGCCACTACAAACAGTGGTGCGGTCACTGTAGAAGCAACACCCATCGAGAGTCGACTTGCAGGAGACGACAACGGAATGATGAAGCGC